CTGCTCTTTGTATACCTTGGAGAAAAGAGAAATAAAAAAATGAATTTCTTGTTACAGTACATTACTATCAATTCCAGTAATCTAGAAGTAGTTATGACTGCTCAAAAACATTATAAAAGGGTCAACATGTCACTAGATCACAAGGCATATGAGGTACTGTTTATAATGTGCTATATTTTATGAAAAATATTAATATTGTGCAAACGGGGGTTAAAACTAGTTATAAACTGGGTGGCTCGAGCCCTGAATGCTGATTGGCTGACAGCTGTGGTATATCAGACCGTATACCATTGGTATGACAAAACATTTTATTGCTCTAATTACGTTGGTAACCAGTTTATAATAGCAATAAGGCACCTCGGGGGTTTGTAGTATATGGCCAATATACCAAGGCTAAGGGCTGTGTCCAGGCACTCATGTTGCGTCGTGCATAAAAACAGCCATTAGCTTGGTATATTGGCCATATACCACACCTCCTCGGGCCTTATTGCTTAAACATACCACTTTGTTCTGTATGTGGCTGGAGGACTTGAGTTGGTGCTGGACAAAAGACAGGACTGCAGGGAGGTGAGTTTCACAGGCAGCACAGTGGACCATCTCGATCTTTCTCAAGTAGTCTTCCTCTGTCACCCTTTGTAGAGGCTGACTGTGATCAGAGCGACTGACTGACTGGATTGTGAATGGGGGACATTCGCCAGAGGAGGCTGGAGGGAGGAGCTATAGGAGGATGGGCTCATTGTAATGGTTGGAATGGTATTCATGGAACGGTGTTGAACACATCAAACATATGGAAACCACATGTTGACTCCATTCCATTTATTCCATTCCAGCCATTACAATGAGCCTGTCCTCCCACCAGCCTCCTCTGGCATTCACAATCCAGGGCATTTTGGGTATTCTGAAGAAAAGCCATACCTTTCATGACTTCTTTTGGGAGCTCCTCTTTGCGAGACACTATCTTTTGAAATGTACTCAACATGAACTCCTGTACAGAAAACATGAACAAAGAAATCCCCAATGAATACTAGGCCTAAGGTTGACATTCAGGTGCACAGAATTGTCAATCCAAATTCTATTCAATCGTTGGAGAACCCTGGATTTACATGCGAAAACGTAATTACTCACTCTTCATATTTGGCTTGCTTCCGGATATAGTCCAGTGTTTCATGATGAGAGGCCCCTCCAATATCTTAATAAAACATATTTGTGTCACTATTTTTGATGACGAAATTAACTCTGTGATGATTTGAATAGTACCAGTCAAATAGCCTAACTATGATGAAACACGCTAATTGCCTAAATTAGGCTACATGCGTACCCAGCAACTGGGCTGATTGACACAACTGAACACCTGTGGGGGAGGGCGGGACCCCGCGTATTTTTGACTGCATTATTTGCTATATGGACTAAAAACAACCAATTACGTTTTATTTGAAGAGAAACATATCTAAATAACAGTAGTGTCAGTGAAGTAAGATTTTAAAAAATATTAGAAAGTTCGCGGTTTTGCCATGTAAATAGGCCTTTCTACGAGGAAATAACCTGTATTAACGTTATCTGCCCACACGGTGGCAGTCCGAGACCACTAGGCCTACGCTCCATCAGGGACTCTAATAGACTTTTCATATGTTGCATCCTCATTCCCAAGAGAAAGCAGAAGTGCACATCTGAGAACCCCATTCAAAACAGATCGATAAACGGATAATTAATTGAAATAATAAAAAGTAATATTGGTATCTACTGTAAGTGTCAAAGATGAAACAGGTCCAAAATATATTTCATTGTGTTTATTGTTCATCGAAAAAAATATCTTGCCTGTAATACATGATCTGAAAATTTAATTGACAGGTAGGCCTAACCAGGAGGAATTTGATCAGGAGTGGTTTGAAAGTGCTGCAGGGATTACATTGTTATCGTCCATCATAATGGCATTAATCGTTGTCAGGTACACAGTGTGGTTGGTATAATAATAATATTACACAATGTACAGTTGTCAACACAAATAGGATTGCATAACCTGGAATGGTCTGTTAGGAAGGAAGTATGTAGTTGTACCTAATATATTTTTGGTGGTGGTGTAGCTTGTGTTAGTTTAACAGATATAGAAGAGAAACATTAGAATATCAGATGGTTAAAAGACAAAATATTATATTCAAATGTTTAAAATAATAATTTCAAAAACTAAAATGCAATTGTTGTAATTCAGCAACTGTGGAAATACTCCCTGTTTAAAACTATACAGTACTAAACAAAAACAAAAGGACAAGGGCTTCATATGAGACCCCCTTATTATATCTGTTGTTTCCAAAAAAAATCATATTATTTGTATTGGAACTTAATCAAGTAATCATTCCTTGCCAAACACACACACACACGTGCACATACACACACACAAGCACGCCTAATTTACGGATTGTCAAACATTACAAGTCAGAAATCAAGCTTTGATCCCTCATTCTAACCTTTTGGTTAGACAGTCTCTCTACACATTATTCTCATGACTTTAAATATAAATACCTTGGTAAAAACATGTTCTACAAAATGATACAATATAAAACAAGGAACAAACATTTATCTTAAACAAGTTTCAAAATACAATCATGGAGAGAAAATAATAAGAATAATTTGGAAATGGTAATGTCATCACATTATGCCATATTAACATTCTTAAAATGTATTGCAGTTCATCAATAATGCATCAAATATGTTCATGCTTATATTCTATCATTCTAATCCTTCGATCGTCCACATTGTGATTGATACATTTTGATTTGGGGCTCCAATAATTGAAATCTATACTTTGCAAGTGCAATCTACTCATAACCCCATGACCTTGTCATCAAATCCATGCAAGACTTGACACAGTTGGTTTGCTTCGCAATTCCTTTATTGAGTTGCAATTGTCATACCTTAACATTCAAAATCGTTGAACTATATGAGACTGAACACTGCAGCACTTGAGATGGCAGCATTTTTCACTGGTTGAACAAAAGTTCAAATTAAAGGGAAAGTTCACCCAAAAGTCTAAGTTTGTCAGATGATTCCATGCAACAAAAAAGTGGTATTATGTTGAGGTGAATCCATATTTAACAGCATCTGTAGTGTAGATCAGCCTAAATGCATTAGGAGATATCTGCAGGTCTGAATCCCAAATTAATGGAAAAGATACGCGCCATATAACTAAATGTGTGCCACCAATGGAATGCAGGAAAATAAGAAACTTTTGACTTATTGAAAGGTGCAAAACAATTAAAACTGACCTGGCATGGCCTGCATCACGTTCTGGTTGCATACAACCATATCAGTGGTTGTAGGCTAGTTGAAATGCTTCAAACATATTGTGAAATTCATTCGGGACATGGTTTTATTTGAGTATGAATGCGTCATAGGAGAACGAACGTGTTGAAAATGTCTGTTGAAAGAGTTAAATACTTTACTGACACATTTATGAGCATAAGACTAGGATAGTAAACATACACATGCACAGTTATTTAGTTAGCAGCCAAGGCCATATTACAGATACATAGGGGTTGTCACATCAAGGGTGCACATTTTGTTTTTTGCCCTAACACTACACAGCCAATTCAAATTATCAAAGCTTGATGATTAGTTGATTATTTGAATCAGCTGTGTAGTGCTAGGGCAAAAACCAAAACGTGAACCCCTTGGGATCCCGAGGACCGAGTTTGGGAAACCCTGCAATAGTGTTTTATAATCATCCTTGTTGATGGACTCTTCAGTCTGTTAATTGAGTGTGGTTCTGACAGTACAGTATTAACACAGTAGGGGCATAGGCAGGCTTGTTGACTGGGTTGTCGCATTTGTCGGAGAGTTTGGTTGTTCCTTTCACACAGCTGCAGGTAATATACTGTATGAAATATACATAACAAGATATCAAAGTATAAATCGTGAGAGGAATCCCTAAACTGCTACATATCGTTGCTGTCTGATGAAAACCTTTTTTAAAAAACATTTATTGAAAGCACTAACTCCCCTCAATGTACTCTGAACCTGTCATGACAAGACAATGTATTCAAAATAGCTTATGAAGTTTCATAATTGTATGTTCGTTATTGGGAAAATAGGGTCATTCTTTCTATTCCCTGAAAAGTGTGTTTTGGAGATAAGAGGTTTTCATCAGACAGCAACGATATGGACTTTCCTGGATTCAGGTAAAAAGTCGAGAAATGTTGCTATAAAACAAAAGAACACAAAGATAAAATCTCATCAGAACATATATCCCTGGCATCTATAAATTATACACCACCATTCACTGTTCCGTTATTATTAAGAGGAGCATCCATTTTCCTCAGAACATTGACTAATCATTTAGTGGTCTAACACAAACATTGTCGTCACTCTGGAACCAGACCCTCATTCTGGAACTAGCCCGATTCTGGAACCAGGGGCGTAGTCATTACGCCGATTCTGTTGCAAAACATTTCTTAAACGGAAGCAAACGGAACAAAACGGGGGAGGACCTACATTAATTGTCCAATAGAAACTCTAGTTTTAGTTGCAAAACGTTCTGTTTTGGACTAATGATTACACCCCAGTCCATCATTCTGGAACTAGCCTGTCATTCTGGAACTAGCCCATCACTCTGGAACCACCAAATCATTCTGGAACCAGCCCATCATTCTGGAACCAGACCATCACTCTTCAACCAGACCACTCTTCAACCAGACCATCACTCTTGAACCAGACCATCACTCTGGAACCAGGCCATAACTCTGGAACTAACCTACCATTCTTGTACTAGACCATAATTATGGCTTTTTCCACAGTCCCTGGAATCTTCTTTCATAATGAGTGAGCACAGTGCCATTTTCTACCAGTTTAAAACATAATCTGTTCTTTCATGATGAGTCAGCCCTGAGCAAAAACCTTTCTTTCAGTTCACATGTTGTAATTAAAAACATTGACAGTGGACAGTTGTTGTCTCATTTTTGTAATCCCACTCCTGTATGGGTAAAGTGACTGTCACTGTCCTTCCACACTCACACCCCATTAGCAAAGGGTACGTTGACTTCCTGATTGATACTCTCCTTGATCTCTAGGGGGAGTGAGTCAAACAGGTGGTCCTCCACCACCAGGCAGTTCCTGCGGAGGAGGTGACACTGGCCTAGCTGGGGCGGCAGGCGGTCCAGACAGTTTCCCTTCAGCTCCAGGTTTGTTAGCTGCACCAGATTGCTGATCTTCTCTGGAAGGATGGCGATACAGTTGTGTCCCAGACATAGTGTCCTCAGTTTGGTGCACTTAAACAGTTGCTTGGGTACTACCTCCACCTTGTTGCCTGTAATGGCAAAGTGCTGGAGGTTCTGCATGAAACCAATCTCCAGCGGAATCACCACTATGGAGTTGTGGCTAATGTCCAGATACCTCAGCTTGAGCAGGTTAAACAAGGGTACAGGCAGAGATTCAAGTTTATTGTGCGAAAGATAGAGGGACTCAAGGTTTTTGACATGGCTTATGGACAATGGAATGGTAATGATTTTATTGTGCCACAGTTTGAGGCAGATCAGCCTCTTGAGGTGCTGGAAGCTGATGACCTCCTCAATGGTGCGAATGTTGTTGGATTTCAGGTCCAGCTCCTGCAGGTTGGTCAAACTGAAAATAGCATGGGGTATCCTCTCCAGTTCACAGTTGTGAAGCTCCAGTTCAGCTAGGTTCATCATTTTCTTCAAACTGTTCAGTACCAGGAGTTTAGTACCGTCATTGTGTACCACCAGCTTGAGCAGGTGTGGAGAGAGATCTGTTATGTTGGTCGGAACCTTCGTCAAATTGCTTTTTAAATGCAGAATCTTTAGATGCCTCAGGTCTCTGAGAGATTCTAAGCCTATCATCTTGTTGTTTTCAGAATTCAGATTCCCGACCAAGTACAGCTCCCTCAGACTTTTCAACAGGTACACCCAAGTGGGGATCTCGGCTACGTCTGTAAACTTGACATGAAGGCACCGGAGGTGGTCACGAAGGAAACTGAACGCAGTCTGCTCGACTTTGGCAGGACAGTGGTAGAAGTGCAGCTCCTGAATGTTGATCATCTGGGAGATCTTAGCTGTTATCCTGGCCTCTGGGATCAACTCCAGCTTCAGGATCTCCAGATCGGTCAGGTCAAAGACAGCGTCTGGCAGACCTGACAGCATGAAGAGATGGAGCTCCAGTTTGTCCTGAGCGTTGCGGGTTACATGCTGTCTCAGTTTCTCGAATGTCCACTCGTGATTCAAGCTGATCTCCCGCAGCTTGTTCTCACTGACTTCAGAGAGGAAGACGCCAAAACGCTTAGAGTACAGCTGGTCGTACTGATCGACCATGTGCAAGAGAAACGCAAAGTCGTTCTTCACGTCAGGAATGTCACTGAAGCTACTCTCCTCTCTGACTTTCTCAAAAGAGTACTCCTTGAGAGGTCGTCGAAAGAGCCAGAAGAGAGTGTATATACAGATGAGGCCGTATATACAGACAAGGGAAATATAGCTGACAAGCAGCTTCCTTAACATGAATGCCATGTTATGTGTGCATTGGAATTTAGTGTACCCAGTTAAATGTTTTATGTCAGGCTCACACACATGGTCAAAGTCAATGGCAGCAACAAACGTCATTGTGTAACACAAGATCAAAATGAACTTCACCGTTTTGATCACTGTTTGGGCAACGTAGAGCTTGTAGATCAAATCACTGTCTTCCACGTGGGTACGGAACTTCCTAACCTTTTCAAATAGGGCCTTGGCCTGCTCTCCATCTTTATTGTCTAGTATGTTCATGCATGGGACTTCAATGACAGGTTTATCAGCAGTGAACTTCACCCCAGACTTAGCCAGCATCGGGGTGGACTGGTTAGGACTTCCCTCTTCACTGCTGGTTGAGAAATGTTTTGGCAGGGAAGGGGCACCAGTGAGCCTTTGCTTATTCTCCTCTGAGTCCTCACACGCCGTCTCAGATAAAGCCTTGGTTGTCCAAGGAGACTCAAAACACTTCCCCAGAATCCCCACAAAATGCTCTATTTTCGAACAAGTCTTTGGATATTTGAACCAGAAGTTACTGCTGACCATGAGGACGATGGTGTGTATGAGAGCAAGGTATGGGAAGTATTTAGAATACCACGGCAGGGCGACATGGTAGCACATCTGATTGACAAAAACATACTGCTGAAAGTCCAGGTTTGTCCTGACGCCTGTTGGAGGAGGCGGCTGTCTAACACCACCAGACTGTGTAAAGTGGATCTGATGAACAACACTATCCGGCAGATCTTTAGTCATTAGTGGAGCGGCAGCTAGCGTCACCCTGCTTCCTCCGTTCCCTGACCCAGAACCAGACCCCTCCGCTGGCTGCGGTGTCGTGAAGCCGCTGGGGTCCTCTGAAGCTTGTTCCAGGATGGGAAGGCAAACCACCTGGTCTTTGGTTAACTGCATGGTTCCAGAAAATATGGCCAGCATCAGCATGACGACGCCCAGGTAGTCCATAAAGACGTCCCACCATGGTTTCAGGATCCGATAGGTTGGCTGGATGTCATTCAGGGCAGCTACCTCTGTAAGAGTAAACATCACTGCAACAGAAAGCAGACGTTTTAATTAAACAGTGGCAAACAGAATATACACATGATTTAACAAAAAAGTGCAATTAAATACCTTCCGAAAATTAATTAAGCCCACATTCTTTATTTTTTATTTTTTTATCAGTGGGAATTACATTACATTACATGTCTTGATTAGATTATGTATCGCTATGGGTCCTAATTTGACTACATGCAATTTGGAAAATCAGTCATCACTGATCAACTCAGATTTTGGCATTAAAAATGCAGAACACACGTCATTGAAGAAAAGAACAGTACATCTTCATCAACATGTACAATTAGCCTAAGTTGAATATGGCAACATGCCCTCTTCTGACTAATAATTTTATGACATAACCTCTAGGCTATCTGCCAATCATTTCTTTCATTACTACATGAACATTAGGGTTGGGAATTGCCAGGGACCTCAAAATATGATATTATCACGAAACTTAGGTGCCAATACGATATGTATTGCAATTTTCAAGATTCTATACAGTACCAGTCAAAAGTTTGGAAACACCTACTCATTCAAGGGTTTTTCTTTATTTTTAATATTTTCTACATTGTAGAATAACAGTGAAGACATCAAAACTATGAAATAACACATATGGAATCATGTAGTAACCAAAAAAGTGTTAAACACTTCAAATAGCCACCCTTTGCCTTGATGACAGCTTTGCACACCTCAACCAGCTTCATAAGGTAGTCACCTGGAATGCTTTTCCAACAGTCTTGAAGGAATTCCCACATATGCTGAGCACTTGTTGGCTGCTTTTCCTTCACTCTGCGGTCCAACTCATCCCAAACCATCTCAATTGGGTTGAGGTCGGGGACTGTGGAGGCCAGGTCATCTGATGCAGCACTCCATCACTGTCCTTCTTGGTAAAATAGCCCTTACACAGTCTGGAGGTGTGTTGGGTCATTGTCCTGTTGAAAACAAATGATGGTCCCGCTAAGCCCAAACCAGATGGGATGGCGTATCGCTGCAGAATGCTGTGGTAGGCTTGCTGGTTAAGTGTGTCTTGATTTCTAAATAATAGTGTCACCAGCAAAGCACCCCCACACCTCCTCCTCCATGCTTCACGGTGGGAACCACACATGCGGAGATCATCCGTTCACCTACTCTGCGTCTCACAAAGACATGGCAGTTGGAACCAAAAATCTCAAAGGACACATTTCCACCGGTCTAATGTCCATTGCTCGTGTTTCTTGGCCCAAGCATGTCTCTTCTTCTTATTGGTGTCCTTTAGTAGTGGTTCTTTGCAGCAATTCGACCATGAAGGCCTGATTCACGCAGTCTCCTCTGAACAGTTGATGTTGAGATGTGTCTGTTACTTGAACTCTGTGAAGCATTTATTTGGGCTGCAATCTGATGTGCAGTTAATTGCCGATTTCTGAGACTGGCAACTCTAATGAACTTATCCTCTGCAGCAGAGGTAACTCTGGGTCTTCCATTCCTGTGGTGGTCCTCATGAGAGCCAGTTTCATCATAGCGCTTGATGGTTTACGACTGCACTTGAAGAAACTTTCAAAGTTCTTGACATTTTCCGGATTGACTGACCTTCATGTCTTAAAGTAATGATGGACTGTCATTTCTCTTTGCTTATTTGAGCTATTCTTGACATAATATGTACTTGGTCTTTACCAAATAGGGCTATCTTCTGTATACCACCCCTACCTTGTCACCTTGGCTCAAACGCATTAAGAAGGAAACAAATTCCACAAATTAACTTTTAACAAGGCACACCTGTTAATTGAAATGCATTCCAGGTGACTACCTCATGAAGCTGGTTGAGAGAATGCCAACAGTGTGCAAAGCTGTCATCAAGGCAAAGGGTGGCTACTTTGAAGAATCACAAATATAACATATATTTTGATTTGTTTAACACTTTTTTGGTTACTACATGATTCCATGTCTAATTTCATAGTTTTGAAGTCATCACTATTATTCTACAATGTAGAAAATAATAAAAAAAATTAAGAAAAATCTTTGAATGAGTAGGTGTGTCCAAACTTTTGACTGGTACTGTATGTATTGCGATTCGATACTGTGATTTTATTGCAATTCGATGTGCCAAACATATTGCTCACCATACAGTGCATTCAGAAAGTATTCAGACCCCTTCACATTTTCCACATTTTGTTACGTTACAGCCTTATTCTAAAATTGATTAAATTACTTTGGTGGTGGCAGATGTTTTTCAGCGGCTAGTCAGGATCGAGGGAAAGATGAACGGAGCAAAGTACAGAGAGATCCTTGATGAAAACCTGCTCCAGAGCGCTCAGGACCTCAGACTGGGGCGAAGGTTCGACTTCCAACAGGACAACGACCCTAAGCACACAGCCAAGACAATACAGGAGTGGCTTCGGGACAAGTCTCTGAATGTCCTTGAGTGGCCCAGCCTGAGCCCGGACTTGAACCAGATCTAACATCTGTGGAGAGACCTGAAAATAGCTGTGCAGCGACGCTCCCATCCAACCTGACAGAGCTTGAGATGATCTGCAGAGAAGAATGGGAGAAACTCCCTAAATACAGGTGTGCCAACCTTGTAGCGTCATTCCCAAGAACATGCGAGGCTGTAATCGCTGCCAAAGGTGCTTTAACAAAGTACTGAGTAAAGGGTCTGAATACTTATGTAAATGTAATATTTCTTGGTTATTTTTATTTTTATTTGCTAACATTTCTAAAAACCTGTTTTTGCTTTGTCATAATGGGGTATTGTGTGTGGGTTGATCAGGGGGGAGGTAAACAATTTAATCAGTTTTAGAATAAGGCTGTAACTTAACAAAATGTGGAAAAAGTCAAGGGGTCTGAATACTTTCTGAATGCACTGTATGTCTGCTGCAGAGGGACAAGAGAGAGCCATGAAAAAACAAGTTTTGATCAGTCATGGAAATTAAAGTGCTGAAAACAAATTGGCTTCCTATTTAAAAAATAAGATGGAGAACAAGCTATGAAGAAAAAATACTGGAGTTTTGGTGCAGGTACAACCAACTAGCGCAAAAATAATATTGTTATATTGTCAAAACAATACGATAGTTTGATAAAAAATATCTCGATATGTAACTGTATCGATTTTTCCCCATCACTATCCGCAACTCTAAAACAATCTACATTTTGTGTGAGTGGAAAGACCTTGCACACCATACAGACCAGAAGAACAGCAGGGCTTTGCATATTTTCCACTTTCTAAAGCTTATCGACATGGGCTTAGTCATGACATGTTCCACCTAAAACTCTAGTTTATATTATCTAATCAAAAACTGTTTAAGTCATTCCTGTCTTTGTCTTTGCTTGTCTTGATAATCTCTAGCTTTATACCTACCCTTCATCATATGAAACTTATTTTGGCTTTGATGTGACTAACTCACGCGTTAAGAACAAACCCAAAGCCTTACTAAAACCTGACAGCCAGACAGAAAAGATGGCAGGGGAGTTAAGAATGTCTGCCTCTACAAAGAGAACTGCAAAAAAAACAAAGGGTGGTCCTTAATTTTGTCCTTTGAATAGAGAACTGGAAAGTGAAGTGAACAGCCAGACAATCAGTCACACGTTTGCTACAGGCAGAGTACTCTGTAGCTCATTTGTAATTATGTGCATTTAAGCTAATTGCGGCCTCAAACATCTTGTCTAATTCAAAATGATATGCATTAGGGTACATATTGTCTTCAAACAAATAAATACTTCAATATATTCACTATATCATCTGAGATCCTTAAATTCGGATACCCTATATGATAATTCAACATTCATTCTCAAATGTCATTATTGGGTACCGTCATCTTTTAACCTTTATATATATACAATTTAGTCTCACAGTTAAAATCTCTTTTGCAAGAGAAACCTGTCCAAGATGGCAATAGTCTTGGAAGTGAACTGAATATACTCTCATTCATAATACTGTAGCAAACGGCAGGGCAGGAAAGCAAACACCCTACGCATCATGCTAATAAGGTTAACCCCCTTGCTGGGAATTGTAACATGGCTAATAGAGCGAGGATCGCTACACTGCCCCCTCCCAATGGGAATGCATGTCCCCGTGCTTCAACTACTCAGCCCCCTCACACGTCCGGGAAGTGCGTTCCGATGGCCTCACAGCCGCCATCCCACTTCTGGGAATTGTAACATGGCCCATTTAGCAAGGATCCATATAATGCATTCCTCTGACCTGCTGTCCAGAGTGATGCACACTTGGCCCATGTTATCACCTTCAGTGGTTCATCACTCATTCATCCAGAGGGTAACCAATTGACACAGCCTACAGAAATAGCATGCAACATGTAGATGCAAACGTCCATCTTCCACATCCAAATCTGCTCAGACAAAATGCTGAAATACAATGGAAATCAACTGGTACAAGTTTCTGTATTTCAGAGGCAGTGCAAGTTGGGGATCAAGTTGCCACCCTATTCCCTACACACTACATAGGGAATAAGGTGACATTTGGGACGCAGCCCTAGCCTTGCATAACCACACTGAGGCCCAGATGTTGGCGTTGCTTTAAGATGGAACTGAACTCCTGAGTGAGCAGAAATGTAGACTTAGTAGACAGTACACTGTGTACTTGTCCCAGCTTCAAGATTTGGTGATGCATGTGTTATCGTTTACCTTTAAACATTGGTTGAGAACACTTATGTTGTTATAAATGTGCAATTAACCATTTTGCAAATAAAGCAGACATATATTCCAAGTTCAAATAAACCACTATGCCAACTCTATATTTCCAGCTATATAGCCAGCTGTGCACAAGAGGGTTAAGACTAGAACAGCAGCTGTGAGGGTTATGCCTAGTTATGTAGAATATGGCTGGCATACTGACTGAAGGCCTAAGCTAACCTCAGTATGGACCTTTTCCAAAGTAGGTCAAGTACTGAAAAGCTATGCAAGAGTCACTCTCATTTGTCAACAGATAATGATTGGCATCTAAAGCATCCAATCAGAGCACTCAGTAGACCCATGGACATAAAATTAACCATATGATTTCCCAATGATGAGCATTATCACACAGAGGAAGGCTATGATTTGCTGGGCAGATCACTACTCTACCCAGCCTCCTGGTGTCAAGACTAGGCTACTGTGTTGTGCAACATGCCCATATTTTAAACTGAGCAAGCATATGCACTTGATTGTTGCATGTAATTGGTATATTCGGATCCCCATTAGCTTTTGCTGAAGCATCAGCTATTCTTCCTGGGGTCCACACAAAAACATACAACACGACAAGTAACAAAACACTGATACACTGATAGACAAGAACAGTCACACAAACAAAATGAAAATCTGTTCAATGCCTGAGTAGGTGTGAGGGGAAATTGACATTTGAACTTTAGAGACAGTGAAATATTCATATTAGGCTTACCATAGATCCAATGTCTTATCCTGAATAAAAATAGAACTCCATGTCAACTCCTATTTAGTGGTAATTATAAACTGGGTGTTCGAGCCCTGAATGCTGATTGGCTGACAGCCGTGGTAAATCAGACCATTTACCACTGGTATGACAAAACATTTATTTTTACTACTCTAATTACGTTGGTAACCAGTTTATAATAGCAATAAGGCACCTCAGGGGTTTGTTGTTTATGGCCAATATACCAAGGCTAAGGGCTGTGTCCAGACACTCCGTGATGCGTTGTGCGTAAGAACAGCCCTTAGAAGTGGTATATTGGCCATATAACACACCCCCTCGTGCCTTATTGCTTAAATATAACATAGGCAGTCTAATGCTGATGTAGTTTTCAAAAATATGGGACATGCAAAGCAGTGATAGAGGTAGCCTATAGCGTTTAAACATCAGTTTGTCCCACTGTTCCAATTCCACAGCATCCCACAATCAAAAGTGGCGATGTTTGTGGTAGCTACCATGTTAGCTAGGTTTCTCAACACATCCTAGTTGAGAAAAACTCGGCTACACTACTGTAGGCTACTGTATTCACAAGCTGCTGGTCCACATGCAAGTGCAGTAGTCTGAGATTTTAAATAGGCATTGTTTACATTGCCATATGACAGAAAAGGCTAAACACTGCGTTATATATATCAGCTAGGTTATATGGTTCCTATATTATGAAGAGCTTCGGCTACTTACTGTGTTCCAAAATGGGTTCAGTACGCCGACATCTGAAATTATATTGGCTACCCACCACATCCTCCTACATAGAACATAATGTCCACCAGTGCTACTGTAGGCTACATAGATTGAAATAAAAGTCCAGTGGCTGTATGTGCCTATGTCGATTTTAAAAAGGTTATAACACATAGCGTGGTAAAGACATCGCCGGTTTAGTCGACCAGACTAGATACATCCCACTACATCATCGATGGCGCACTGGGCGCATGCATGGCTCAGACTGGCTGTCACGCGATGCTCGTGAGTGGCCTCCAAATGTGACACAGCATTATTCCTCTTCACTATAGCCTATTGATAGTACTGCGAATGGCTGTGGTCCTATCCAGCGTCTTTTAACTATATCCACAGTTCAATGCACATTGTCCAAGGTATTAGGATAACATCCAAAAACTATTTCTGCGCGGATTCGTTTCCCCAAAAATCCTACAGCCCAATAGCGAATGTACGGAATTGCTCAATGCCCGCTTGGGAAATAAATCTCTTGACATTGAAAGTCATGTTTGTGAGTGAAATGGTTAAACAACATGTGTTCTATATTACATTTCGAATTTATCATGTGTGCTTCACACGAGGTAGCCTACTGGGGATCCACTATTGCGCGCCTGAATCCGCATTGAAATATTTTCGGACAGGGCGAAGACAGTCTGGCTGAAACACTTCGAAGTACAGCTCTCCTTGCCCTGTGAGACACTTGGGTCCTGCCAGCAACGTTATCGCGGACAACGTTGCAGATAGAAATCGCTTTAGCTTACCAAAAATGGTGGAAAAATTAAGATAGTTCACTCAGTCCGGTTACCATTGAATAAAATTGTAAGTTCCGGTCTACTTAACGGGGTGGGTCTCCCATAGACATCAATGCAAAAGCAGCTAGTTCTGGTCTACATAGTAGTTCATTGACTTTAATTGAACCAGAAAAAACAGCGAGTGGAGTATCTCGCTTCCTCTTCCGTCTCTGAACCTAACACTAGAGCGTATAGGCCAGGGGTAGGCAACTACATTCAGCCGCGGGATAATATTTGTCGGAGCGGATGGTTGGGGGGCTGGAAAAATAATTTATCCAGGGGTAGGCAACTAGATTCAGACGCGGTCTGATTTTTGTCGGAGCGGATGGTTGGCGAGCCGGTGGAATACGACGATACGAGCGCATATTTCAGAGAGCGCTCCGTAAGCCACGCCCCAGTGGGCAGAGCTAGGCATGTTGGACTGGGACACCAAAGATTTGTATAACTAAACCGAGATACACCACAGCCTGACGTTTCCAATAGGAACAAATGAGTCAAAGTGGGCAGAACAAGCAAGGAGGTGGGCAGAGCAAAGCACGAGCTAGCTTGATCCTATTGGCGCGATCTAACAACATCTGCATATTTCCGTAAGGGAACGCCTTCTCTGAAGTGCGAGTGTGCAATAAATCAATTCGCCTTTGCGATTTTTCAAAACTTTTGCAAAGGGTAAAGTCTACAAAACTCTGTCCACTCTGTTCATAACAGATTTTAGTTTTAGGAACAGAAAACTGTATTGAGATCAACTGTTTCATCGATGAGAAAATGTGCAGAATGTCGGCCAAAATCCATCTCGTTCCATCTTCTGCCGGCCAGTGGACTTCCTCTCCAAGCGGATGCTTCACATTTATACATCCGGTGAAATATCTGTCTCATTGTTCTATCTGCGGGAACACGTTTTAATACAATAAAAAGCCTCTCATTTTACAGTGGATCCGCCATGGCTCTGTGTAGCCTAGTTTATTTGAGACCAGTGTATCGCAGTTAATTTCGTTTTTGACTTAATAAGTAAAATATATTTGAGTAGTAAACTGGGAAACAACGAGTCCCAGACAGTTCGCAATAGAACATACCAGAAGGTGCATCGTTTACTAGGCTACTTAAATTATTGGGATCGTCTGCTTACCACAAGTCCTTGGAATAGTTACTATGGATATTGTCTGAGCCTGCTGGCCATTAATACTGGTAATGCCCTCTCCTTATTGAAATGGTGAATAAAGGAAGACTATGCTTTCATTTTCAAAAACACATTGAAGACATTGTTAGATTGAATGTATGCTTTTATACTGTCTGTATTACAGCAAATCAAATAAAGATTAGTACAAACTGGATATGTGACTTCTTTCCCCAATGATTTCCTAAGGCTGAGGTACTTTGTCAATTATCAGTTATTCTCTACCAACGCTAGCTGAGTCTGAATGGCAACAACACCACACACAACTGCAATGCAACTAATTCATCTCATTGGTACATGACTGTTCAGTCTGTTTGAATATTTCATCAATGAAAATATGGATTTCTTGGCTGAATAAAGGTTTTTATTAAACCTTCAAAAGGGACACACATACACAATAAAGGGTGTTTATCAAATACAGTCATTGACAGGAACAGTAATTTACTGCATCACTTATAGTCACAGCCTCTCCCCTTCATTTGCTTAACTGGGGGAATGAGATGGAGAAATGGTTAACAATAGGCAGGGTGGGGCTCTTGGCTACATCGAGCCATGACTACACATCAAGTAACTCATGCAAGCAGTAAAATCAGATTTAAAAAAATACAAAAAGACACCTTATGCAACAGCAGGGACTGTGAAGAGACACACACATAGGCACAGACACATGCATACACACACACGATAACATACACATGGACTTTGTGCTGTAGATATGTGGTAGTAGAGTAGTGGCTTGAGGGCACACACTTAAAGGACAATTCCACCCTAAAACTATATTTTGGTATTTGTTTCATTAGTCCATTGTTGATATAGTCCCAAAATGTTTTGCTTGTCAGCAATCAAGATATGTAACTTTCAAAATACAGAAATATGAAATGTAAAGTAATGTTTTTAATGGTTGGCAGCCATTAATGGGGATTCGTAATAAATACAAATACAACCGGCAGAATGCGTCCCAAGGGCACCCTATTCCCTATAACTTTTCCCTGTATAATGCACTACTTTTGACCAGAGCCCTGGTCAGATGGAAAGATGGCTTTTCATAAAGACCTCATGGTAAGTAATGGAATGCAAGTTTCTCTGTGTGTGTGTGTGTGGCCACACCTGTTTGACCTCGCTGTGATACTGTAGGCCTACATATGTTACTTTTCTGAGTCAATTCAGGTACCATTAAATGTCCTGTGTTATTATTTTAAAGAAACACAATTTATTTCAATCTCTAGTTGAGTAAAATGTACCCAATTAATTATGAAAAGAAATGTACTTGATAGGTCGATGTCCTCGTTGTGGTTTTACAGATGTGTTTAATACGTTTTATGTACACACTTTATTAGAATAATCTTGTCTGCTACGTGAGCTAAAGGACTGGAGACTCATTAACACTGCACATGAATCAGAGCAAATAACTACTCTGCCTGGCTTAATTTCCTCCACTCACTGCAAGGCCAACAGTATGGCCATCAGCTCCGCCGTATATACAGCTAGATGATCTGTAATACGTTTCCTGACTCCACCCCACATTCCTGCACTACAAA